GAGAGAGAGAGAGAACAGAGAGAGAAAAGAGAAGAGAGAGAGAGAGACAGAGAGAGAGAGAGAGAGAGAGAGAGAGAGGACAGAGAGAGACAGAGAGAGAGAGACAGAGAGAGAGAGAAAGGGGAGGGGAGAAAAGACAGACAGAAGAGAGAGAGAAAAGAGACAGACAGAGACAGAGAGACAGAGACAGAGAGAGAGACAGAGAGACAGAGAAAACAGAAAAAGACAGAGAGAGACAGAGACAGACAGAGAGAGCCCAGAGACAGAGAGTGAGAGTGAGAGTGAGAGAGAGAGAGAGAGAGAGAGAGAGAGAGAGAGAGAGAGACAGAGAGACAGACAGACAGAATCCTATGAAATGATAGAGAATCTTTTCCTGATCATAATGACACCAAAAGTATGATATTTGATGGAAAACTTATGGAATTATGCTCTTGCGAAGTTAGTGGTCTCGACGATGTTTACGCATTGGAGATTTCGCCCACTTTGAGCCCTATTTTCAGCCAATTCCAATGTACCAGTCGACAAAAATCATAACTTTCTCTAGAACTCCATTTTTTCTATCAAATGAGTACAATAAACCACCCATTTACTGATTTCAACTATGTAATAAAGTGGTCAGAAATGGGCAATTTTGCCAATTTCACACAAATTCAAAAGACGCCAATTTCCAAATAGGGTCCAGAATAAACAAGACAGACATTCCTGGCACTAAAATAAGATTTTTTCTGTTCATTAGTCACGTCCCCAGGCCTCTCTTACATTTCTTTTGCTTTCCACTTTGAATTTTTCTCACAAAAAAAAAAAAGAAGATTTACTGTTATGCAGACTACTGCATTAGTGTAGAAATGGTATAAATAATATCAGCGCACTTGTAAAAGAATATTAAACTCACCAGTTGACGTGTATTTGACGCGTGGCATGATTTGTTTCCTTTTGAACTTTGGCAAAAATCTAACATTTCTGCTACTTTGAGCTCAATTTCAAGGTACTTTTCATTGTGAAACCAATCAAAATCATGTCAATTTCTGTAATATTTCTTCCATTCTATAAAATGAGACCAGGAAAACTAGAATACAACCATAAATAGCATATGAAAATACACTTCAAAGTCGCTGTTTTAACCCTTTACCCGTAAACGGTCCAAGCAGATCTACGTTCACATGTGTAGTGCTACAAAAGTAGATCTACGTTTTTTTTACATATTTTCAAATGTAACAAAAAAAAAAAAAAGATCAAAGTTTTTTTTACACATTTTCAAATGTAAAAAAAACAAAAAGATGATCTACTTTTTTTACATACTTTCAAATGTTGAAAAAACGTATATATACATTTGGACCGTTTACGGGTTAAACTGTCCAAATGTAGATCTACGTCCACGTGCGGGGAGCTCCAAACGTAGATATACATTTTTTTTACATGCTTTCAAATGGGGAAAATCAAGGTTGGCGCGTTACGCACGTGAACGTAGATCTACGCTTGGACAGTTTAAGGGTTAAAGCAAAAACATGGTCGGAGTTTTTTTTTCTCATTATGCACTGTGTGCTGCAGGATTTTTTTTATACTGTGCACACTGACCACATAGACCCATTCTTTCATATGTAGGCCTACCAGCTTTCTCTTGCTAGATTTGAAGGCGCTAGAATTTATGCGTACTAGTACACCACCAACCCTAGCGTGCAAGCCGTACTAGTACGGCACCAACCCTGAAAGGGTTAATGAAAACCTTTTGGTGTTGCGGTCCATGTTATCAAACTTTTTAAGGTGCTTCTTGAGGTCTGCAAAAGCTTTTGCTAAACCCTTCATTGTGAATTTTCTTCAGGGTTCTCCTTCCTTTTCTTCTCCTGCAGCTCCATGATGAACAAAACACAAGAATAAATCATGCACAAGGGAAAAATGATGGTATCAAGAGATGTGGTAAACAAGAGATGTATGAGGCTGCTGCCAGTGTAAGACCCCATACTGTTAAGTTTACTCAGGTATACACATATACAGTTACATAGATAAATAAATAAATAAACAGATAGGAGTGAATGGAGACGAATGGTTTTTGGGACCTGACCACACTCCTGTTGGACTGTGAAAAGGGCAATGTTCTGTGAAGGGATTCAGGGAATCTGGTTAGCCAAACTTGAGTCCTGGAAATGGGAAGTATACAATGCCTGCACTTTAAAGGAGGGGTTTGGGTTGGCAGTTTGGAGGTTGACTTTTAAATTGTTGTATCTGAGCGCCTCGGCAAAGACAGTGATTATGTATGAGTGAGGTGAAAGTGTTGAATGATGAAAATATTTTCTTTTTGGGGATTTTCTTTCTTTTTGGGTCACCCTGCCTTGGTGGGAGACGACCGACGTGTTAAATAAATAAATAAATAAATAAATATATTTGGGAGTTGATGTGTCAGTGGATGGATTTATGAAGGATGAGGTTAATCATAGAACTGATGAAGGAAAAAAGGCGAGTGGTGCATTGAGATATATGTGGGGCAAAAAACGTTATCTAGGAGACAA